GGAATGAGCAGGCTATCCGGGAAATGCACACGTTTTACACCGGAAAAACTACTCAGTAACGCTTCCTCATGACTTCTGCCGGAAACTTCACCGGACACTCCGGACAGATTACCGAAGACTCCGGACATTTCACCGGACACTCCGGACTGGTTACCGGAACCTCCGGAAACACTCCGATTTCTCGGGTTTTCCCCGGTCAATCTGCTCCGTATGTTCGCCCATCGGCTCTCAAAACTCATTTTTTGAGTTTTGACCGGACGATTTTGACTTTCGTCCGAGCAACTCTGATTTGCCCCGGATAAGTCGCTGGTTGATGGTTGTTGGGTATTTCCACGGCATGAGCAACTTGCTTGCTCCACCCGTTCGGTCGACTTGAGCTTTTCTTCGGCTAACTCCCGCTCCAAGCGTTCCACGCTCTCGCTGAGAGTAGCGATTGTCAGTTGCTGCTTGTCGACCGTTGCTTCCAACCCCTCCAGCCTATCTAACATCTGCTCTATAAACTGGTTTATCAAACTCTTTTCAGAGTTGACCTCATCCTCCTCAGTTTGAGCCACCGATGTTTTCCCTTCCGGTACCTGGGCTGACGTCTCGTCAGTTTCCCCAAACCGTACTAATCCTGGATCCAAATTTTCCTTAGCCCTAATATACTCGTCTAATGCTAAGAGTTTATCGGCCTTGGACCCCCCGGTCTCAATACCACGCTTATGTAACTCCCGGTTAATCTCAGCAATAGTTAATTCACCAATGTGTTTCGTACCCATTGTGATTATTAAATTTAACTGCTATTATCTACCTAATTAAAGTACGTTAGATATGAGATTACGTAACTCGGGATATCGCTGGTAGAGATATGTACTTTCCAATCTATAAATAGCCTAAACCAAGTTTAGCACTGTAGGAATTACGATAAATTATGCAAATTTTGCTACAATTTAATACCTTAGATTGGACAAGCCCTTAATATTTTATTTATAATAAAAAATCAGAATAAAAAAAAAAATATTAGGAACCGGTACGATCAGGACACCTATTGTAGGTTCTTTTAACCCGATATGTGCTAATTTACTTTAATTTACGTAAAATTATTTTTTATTAAAATTAGCACTTACCTTACTCCTTTTCCGACTGCGCCAATGTAGGTATTGGAACGGTTTATAGAGATTGTAAATAACAAACGACAACGAACACGTTAAGTAGGTAATTAATGACGTATATTGCACAGGTAATATAAATGATTGGTGAAATACTGAAATAAACTGAGGGTGCTAGTTTAAAGCTTGGGGTTTGCTAAGCACCCCCAAGCACCCCCCCCCCCTATGTGAGCCTATGTTAGTGTCTCTTCTGTTAATGGATAGACATAACGGTTGTTAAAGCTATTAAAATTAAGTATAATAGTATAATAGTATATATGACTATGAGTTTACCTTCAGTAGCTGTGAATGTATAAATGTAAATTATTATTAAACGAGTAGGTATACGTAGGTATACCTAGTGTTATGAATTATAAATTATATAAACAATGAGGAGACTTACGAATTATCTTTTCTGTAAATGTATAAACATGATAATTATTAAAGTTATTAAAACATTACATAAATGGTATACCTAGTGTTATGAATTATAAATTATATAAACAATTAGTAGACTTACGATTTTTCTTTTCTGTAAATGTATAAACATGATAATTATTAAAGTTATTAAAACATTACAGTTTGGAGTAAAGTTATTCAGTTATTCATAATATTTTCTGTTTTTAATATTTATATTCTATGTTTTAAAAATATTACAAATCCAGTTATGTATTCAAACACAACAAAATAACATGTTCGTTGTATCTATGAAAATAGTACCTACACGGCTACACATGAGAACAACCATAAAAATATCAAGAATCATTTTCCTAACAATGGATTCCTCACTACACATTTTTGAACCAATATTTGAAACAATCATCATTTAATAAAGAACAGTACTGAACATGACATTTAAATAGCTAGTTAATTGAAAAAATATACATATCTTAATATCTGTTTTAATATAACAAATCAATCCACACGCAAGGTAGTAAAAATGTCAAATTTCACAATTATTTGTCAAGCTCAACGATACTCTAGAGTCTATTTCATATAAATATCAAACTTGATATTTTTTATGAGTACCTAAAATCCCAAATTTCAAACAAAAATCACTTTGAGCGAATACTGTGTCAGTATTGTTATTTATTACAAAATATATTTTAGATTTTGAGGTAAGCATGAAGGTATCAAAAATACATTAATGTTGTTTTTTTTTTTTTTTGTTTCTTGACATCATCATATTTTCATCATTATGTGTGATAAAATTGTTTGAATTTTTTAATTCAGCATTTTTTATGTTAGGAAAGTGAATATATTCGGGTGTTCTGGTGTTCAAAAGTAAAAAAAATCCTAATAATTTTTGAAAGTGTCCAAAAAACCAAATAAATTAAGAAAAACCGAGCAGTTTTACTCAAAACAAATTTTCATTCAATCATGCAGTGCTTATGCTGATTAATTGATTAAGTATAAAGTATTATTATAGAAGGATATCTATTAGCTATTAGGTATCATGCAAATATTTACAATTTGTTATAAATTAAAGTTATTATAAATATAATGTATTAATATGTGTATCCTTACTATTGAAACTACTGAATAACGAGGCTGAATAAAATTGTTAATAAAATAATTACAAATTAGTTTATATTTACACAATTGCTATACCTAATGAACATTTTCGTGACAAAATTATGAAATTTTATCTGTAAAAATTGTGTTATTTATTGTTTAGCACAATTTAATATTAAAAGTCAATTATAAGCTATAATAATATGGATATATTGTTATCAAATAGAGATGCAGAGGCTGTCATCACTTATGTCAATATACATTACAGTAATTTGTTTGACGGTATAGTCGTCACTCACGTCATCATTAATTACAATACAAAATAAGTGAAAACAAATTTCCATTATTTGCAAGTATTAGATACTATAGTTGACACCGAAATCATTATTTTCCTATTTCGATTTTGGTTTCTGATGTCGGTATTTATGTTTTTATGATTTATGTTTTCCGCTTTTGATTTTGATTTGGAATATTGGTCTTTATTTTTTCGATTAATCAAATTTCGGAAATCACTATTTTTTTTCCCCGATTTCGATTTTTAACGTTCCTATTAATTGGTAGGTATTTAAAATCGGTTTTAAGCCCCTAATCACCATCATTGATATTAAAGCAGGGCTTGAAACCGAAATTTGATACCGATATTGAATACCGGTTAAAACCGTTAAAAACCGAAATCGATACCGAAAACAAAATCAATACCGGTAAACAAAATCGAAATCGAAATCGAAAAATATAAAACCGGTATTCAAAACCAAAAACGAAATCAGAAAAAATAAATACCGATAACCGAAACCGAAATTGAAATCGGAAAAAATATTTAAGTTTTCAAGCCCTGCAGTATTAAAGATATATATTATTAAATTCTTCAAAATGACAAGTCTATTTTAAAGTTTTGTTTTAATTTTAAAATATATATTACCAAAATTATAAACAGTAAATTTCCCTGAAAATATATAAAATTAAATAATATTAATTTTCATTAGGTTCTAATTTGTTATAATAAAGATGATTTTTTTTTCGTAGTGATTTAAAAGTATAAGCCATATTATAGCGACTTGAAACATTCAACCACTAGGTTAGAAGTAGCCTAGTATTTAGATAAGTATATTGTTATAGTGTAAAATAAACTCGTCTTACAGTTGATATCTTAATACGATAAGTAAAAATGATAAGTGAACGTCTTAATTATTTGATAAGTTCTGAATTAAAAAATAAGTCGGTACGGTGAGTAAGTTTAGGGGAGTGTTGAAGTGCCTATTATTTTGGTCTCTCTAGCCTTTCCAGTTTCTGTTCCCATGTAACCTCCAACATTTTCAAAGATATTGATTACCTATTTGACTATTTATTTAGAGTATGTTTTATTCAATTACTTTTATTTGATACATTTAATTTAATTATTATAATTTTCTACAATTTATTAATTACGTATTTTACAACAACTAATAAATAACTAACATCATTTTTATTTTTCTTAAATTAATGTGGTGCTTATCACATATATGATAATAATGAATACAATGTAGTGTTATCACACATTGGCTATCCTATACCAATAAGTATAGGGGTATACAAAAAAATACAATTAGTAATTAGTAAGTACCTATCTATTATATATATACTTTTTTTTCCCGTGGTATCGAGAATCGGAGGGTGACTGCGTTAGCATTACATCCCCTACGTTAGCATTACGTCCCCTTAATTATATACATCTGAACAATAAACATATGTTTAAACCTAATCTATATCAACCATAAAAAATGTTGGTTAGAAAGGATTAACAAATTTAAAGTTTAGATGAGCGGAGTAGTGGACACATATTTTGCGGGGTCACCCTATACTATTCCACTCCACTTATTTATTGTATATTGTTGCAATTTATTTTTATTGAAATACATATTTTGATATACTGGATATTTAAAGGAGAATTAAAAATTATTGAGATTGAAACTTTCCATCACTAAACATACTGTTATATTTCAAAATAATCAAAACTTACAGTTGATATTTTTATGAAGATAATTGTAAATGATCAGTGTAATTCTTTTTTTGATTCTTAATTGTACTCAAATTAGTTCATAATAGTTTAAAAATACAATTAATAATAATATTGATAAATTGTAAAATAATGACAACTAAAATAAGACATTTGTGATGACTTACTTTTTTTCTCTGAAATTATAAGACAATTTATTATAATAAAAGTATTATTTAAGTTTAGTTATTACACTTATCAAAGTTGATCCAACGTATTTTAGATTCTAAAATAATGTGGGATTTATTAGAATTGCGGGGTAGGGTTTTTTTTTTTACAATATGTTCAATTATACCTTTGTATGATATTAGGTTTTAGCTACAATGTCCCCCAATCAAGACCCTCCTTGTCATGGTGAGAGGGCTCACGAGCCATTATATCGCCCGTGTCAAGACTTCCACACTCCGGACCTGTATTTCATTAGAGCTCAAAAGCCGCCGACCTTAACTGGTTGGAGTCGGAAGGTATTGTCTCCACCTGCTACTGCCAGCAAACAAACACTGAAGGAAAACAGTAAACCATTACGAGAAGGCCACTATAAACTGAACCGATACATAAAGAGAATACGGACCATTTACGCCTGACCCTGGCCCTCACGAATTCAGGGGGTCTACCTTGGTGGTTAAACGACTGGAACATGAAACTGGATATATTATTGATGAAGAAGATATTGGTGATGTTATTTGGAAAAGAAGTGCGAGCATACAAATTATCTTTAACAGGATAAAATCTAATACTACTGATTTGGAGAAGTACTGATGCAAGAGCAGGAACATCCACAAGAAGGTGAAAGAACTATCGAGTGTACTAAAGACCCTTGAAAACCAACTCACTGAGGAGTTCAAGGGACTAAGGGCGAAACAAGGCGGAGCTCAAGAGGCGTCATGCGATTGACATATGCCACGCTGAGATGTCGCTTACATTGTTGAATTACAGCATGCTGGTTCCATCGGCGTGCAGTTCACCAGAAGCATCCAGAGTGTATCAGCTTAACGATCAAGATGCACTTGGAGTGGTTGTCCAGAACAGAGGCGGTACTTCATATGCTGAGGTTGGAAAGCGGCTCAAGCAAGAAGTGAATCTTGAGTCCATAGGAATCAAGATCACTACTGTATAGAAAACAAGAACAGGAAAACTCATCCTCGATGTTGGTAAGGTTATTGAAGCCACTGGTTTATCTTCCATTCTACAAGCTACGGTTGATTGGGTTGTTGGTGAAAGCACCACATTTAAGGATGCGGGGAAACCCGTGCAAGTTGAAGGACTAAGCGTGGGCTGTACAGACGAAAAGGAAGATATAGCATCATCTTTGAAGAAGGAAGGATGCTCAGAAGATGATTCCCTGATCCAACGAGTCAGTCCGTCCTACAGAGGAATGCAGCTCACTGTAGTTTCTATACCTGGTGCCGTAGTTCTGGACATCCTGAAGAAAGGGAGATTAAAAGTTGGACTTGTGGAGTGCCGAGTTCGAATCAGAAAATAGAAAAACCAGATGTCCTGTAGCCATGAATACGTACACAAGTCAGTGGGTTGCAGGCAGGTGGACAGAAGTAAGTTGTGCATAACTTGACGTGTGGGGCAGAGGGTCATCATTCGGAAGAGTTTGACTACTCACCGCACTGCAAAAAAGAGAAGCGGAAATACGAACATTTACCCGGCAGTGGAAGTTATGAGAGCTACCAATGATTTGTAACACAGAAAAACAAAAAGTCCTGATAGGGAAAACTAGTCAAGCGATTATATTGTGGATCGAAGACCGTTGTGGGGTGGTTAGTTGATTTATTGTTAATTAGAATTATTTTGTTCTTATTTTTGCCTTACTTGGTAATGCTGAAATTATAAGACAAATAAAAATTTTTAAAGTATTATTTAAATTAAGTTACTACACATTTACACGTATCAAAGATGATCCTTCACATATTATATCCTAAAATAATGTGGAATGTAATGTAATTACTGGGTGGGGTTTTTTGTTTGTTATAATAATGTGTTAAATATTACTCATAAGTATGATGTTATGTTTTGGAGTTAAACACGTTCAAGCTACAATAATATTCTCAAAAGTATTATAAATTAAAAAAAGTAGATAATTTAATAGGACAATTTTTTACAGTACCTAGTTGAAAAATATCGAAAATATAATGAAGTTGCCATTTTATTTTAAAGATGATTGAAATACATATTTTAATAAATTGGATAGTTAAAGAAAATGTATTACTTTTCTTCTAAAGATAATAGTTTTAATGCTGCTGTAGTTTAAAAAGTATAAACTACTGTATAAAGTTATGAACCAACTTGAAACATTCTAACACTACGTATACATTGTGATAATTTAAAATAATCTCATATTACAGTTGATATTTTAATAATAATATAAATAAATTATCAGTACAATACATATTTATTTGTTAAGTTAACAATAATTTCACGATTCTCAATTGTATTAAAATTAATTAGTAATAGTTTATACAAACATAATTTTAAAAAAAAATGTTTAAACTCAAGTAATTTGATAGAACCAATTACAATAAATATATTTTCTTGTATTAATTAATTGTAATATCTTGAAAACTAAAACACTAGTTTTATGCTTACTTACATTCATTTGCTGAAATTATAAGACCATTTATTGTTGCAATAATATTGTTGAAGTTTAGAATGACACTTATCATTCTTAATCATTCACATTTTAGATTGTAAAATTATGTGCATTGTATTGGGTTTTTTTTTTTTTGTTATATAATGACATAATGTAACAATAGTAATATAATTAGGTACATTATAATATATCTGATATCAAGTTTGGGAGTTGATTAGGTTTCAACTACAATAACCGAAGAACTAGAAGAGACAACGTAAAAACTGTTCAATTTGTTGGTAAGTCGGTTAATCCAAGTATATGACAAAAATGTTATTTTTTTTGTCTAGTTACACTGATATTAGTAATATTACAAAAGTCTTTTGTTATAGATAGTAAAAACATTAATGAGACATCACAGATGAGAACCCTGTATATTGTTTATGTTATATATTTGCGGTATTGAAGTAATAACAAATTCTGTAATTTGTTTAAATTTTTTATATAATATGATTATAAATATAATATTATATTGGAAGTCGATAATCGATAAACGACGTTCAGTAAATTCAGATTCCACTTACACGTTGATAATAAAAGTATCAACATTTCATTAAAAAAAAAAATACCAAAAAATGTAAATTCTTAGTATTTTAAACTCAAAAATCGAGTATTTTAATGTTTTTCGACTATAACTTCCAAATTAAGTTTGAGTGATTTTTTTTTAATTACCATCAAAATTAAGCATTCAAAAACACAAATTTTAAATAATAATCTATCCTTATTTAGTTATTTATTTAGTAATTTCTTTGGTAACATTGATATTTTATACGTTATTGTAGGTATGCTACACATTATTTACATAATTTTATATTTAATAGTATAGGTATTATCACAATATACAATTTTATAAGTAGGTTACATTTTAAAAGAAAAATTAATATCTAAAGTAATACACCAAATTTGTTTTGCTCTAACTTAAATCGTAAGTTATGGTCAACATTATATTTCTATGTTAATTAATAATTAACTGATATAAGTTCATGTGGGAATAAAAGTTCAGTTTAAATACTCTGAACAATTCATGGACATAGTAAGGTCACATTGACTAACAATTATTGTAATTAATATGTTATAATTAAATTATCTTTATAACAGCTTATAGATCTGACATTTCTGAGTAGGTTAGGTACACAAAAATATTGCGATTTAAATCCAAAAGTAAAAATTTAAGTTTGGCATAAATCCAGTTTAGCTACCAAAAACTATTTTGGAATTTTTTTTTTCAAAATGTGTGTTTTTTCATGATTTATTTGATGGTACTTAAAAAAAATGATTTACTTAATTTATAAGTTATAGCCAAAAAACTGAAAATGCTCAATTTTTAGAAAAATCATGTTTTTGAGTTTCAAATATTAAGAATTATTTTTTTTTTTTAATTTCTTTTTAAGAAATGTTGATATTTTTATTCTCAACGGGTTGGTGAATTTTGATTTCTCCAACACGTTCAGCATAATAAAATTATCATTTCCAACAAAAAAAGTTCCAAAAAAACGTTAGGGAAGTAATTAACTACTATACCTATTTTGTTTCCAAAGTTTTATTGCGTGTACCGCTAATCGCTACATGTAATTATTTGAAGAATCGGCCTTCTTAGAGCTCCCGGTGGACAATTTCCGCATTAATTGCCGTCTTTATTTAATTTCTACACCATATTATCTACATCGTGGTCATAACAATCACTGACCGACAGCCACACCAACAACCACATACCCAGTACCCACCCACCTATCGGCGCCTAGTTCTGTATATCTTAGTGGTATCATGGTAAGCATTTTTTTGGCCTAAATGGGAATCATTGATTGCCGCTGATGTCGGCTGATCATGTTTTTATTATTTATGATTTTAGTAAACATACATGTGTTTATTACGCTTACAATTTATAAAAGACAGACAATTTCCTCTGTTCAGAAAACTGGTGTGAAAATCACCCCCTCTCCAATATGTATAAAAGTTAAACCCAGAAAGGGTCCCTTCTGGTTATTCTATACTAGAATTATAAATATTGATTCTCGGAAATTCCACATAAATATTCTTACAGTAGTTACCCAGTTGAAAAATCTGAAATATTATATTAAATTGTTGCAAATTGATTTAATAGGTGTTTGAAAAAGATATTATAATACATTGGAAATTAGATGAAAATAAATGATTTTCCTTCTAAAAAGAAGTATGGTTTTAACTTTTGATGTTGCAATTATTTCAAAGGTACCTATAATCTATTCAGACTAGAGAGTTTCCAGTTTCCACAACTAAGTATATTACTAATATTACTATAAATTAATATAATTTCATTTATCAGTGTATATTTTAGTATTTTAATAAGTAAATTAACAGTGCAATTAGTGTTATTTATTTGTTGAGTTCTCAATTGTACTCAAATAAACTACTCAAATATACCTAGTTTATACAACTATACAAGCATATATTTTTAGAAAACATTTTTAAACACAAGCAGATTGTTCGAATTGCAATTAATGATTTCCTTATGTTGTAAATTGTGATATATTAAAAACTAAAACACAATTGTTGTGCTAACTTACGTATTTCGTCTGAAATTAAAAAAAAAAAAATTATTACTATTAAAATACTATTAAGTATTACTATTTAAGTGAAGTTATAACAATTGTCAATGATCATTCTTCACGATTTAGATTCTAAAAGTATGTGGTATTTACGCATTGGATTTACAATGGCATGGTCAATTTTTTTTTATATTATATTTCATACTATGTCAGTATGTCTGATATATCATGTTTTGAAGTTTAAGGAACGATGAGAGAAGAAGTATAAGACATAAATTAAAAATCTGTTAATTTTTTTTTTAGCCGGCGTATCTATGCGTTTAACAAAAATGTAAAATTCTTTGTGTCTGGTCACATTTATATTGTTAATATATACATTTTAGCATTACAATTTTACCAATAGACTGGTATTAGTTTTTGA